TGCCGGAGGTGTCACCTGGCCCCACAGGTTCTTTCTCTGCCCTTCGTGGGCCCTCGGCTCACACACACACACACACACACACACACACATGCTGCCCTTGAGCTGGCATGTGCTGTGACTGCATCCCCGTGTGTGGCGCAGGGACGTGGCCCGCGGGCCCCCAGGGACCTGCTCCACACTGGTGTCCTGTGTGCAGCTCTGTTGGGACAGTGCCCAGTAGCTGGCAGGAAGCATGAGGCTCTGCCTGAGCAGTATCTGACCCCTCTTTTGCCCCTGATCACCTTGTGCTCCCCACATCTCAATCGGCCCTGTCACAGGCTGCCACTTCTGGAGGACAGGAGATGACTCTGCCGGCTTTGCATTAACACTGAGCACTGCCTTCCTCGTCCTGCCAGCCCTCACCTCTGGGGGACAGTGATGGGACCCCTGGCTCTCGGCCCGGCATGTGGTGGGTCTGTCCAGGTTGACTTCAAGCAGGAAACTGTCCCCCTCCCTCACCCCCAAACACACTGAGGATGAAGTGTTCAAATTTTGCGGGGAACTCACAGTGTTGGCCAGGTCCAAACAGACCTGTACCGGACTCGGAGGCTCTGTGTAGATGACCGTTAGTTGTAGGGACACCCGTCCTGGGCTCCCATTTGTCTCTGGGTACATGGGGCCTGTGTCCGCAGAGCCCTGCCCTGTGCAGCCCATGACCGTTGGGCGCTTCCTGGTGAGTGTCCTGAAGCGTCTGGGCTGAGTGAACCATCCTCTTACTCGTTGCCACACGGTTTCCCTGCGCGGGGTCCTGAGGCTGGGGCCTCGAGGCCTGGAAAAGCAACACAGCATTTCCACTGCTGCCGTCTCCAGCTAAGTGCCTGCGAAGGCAGTTGGCACTCACCTATGGTGCCTAGCGCCCACAGGGTTCTAAGTTCTGTTTGGACCTGTCGCCAAGGAAGTGAGGTCATGTGTGGGGGCCATAGCGGAGCCTCCCCCTGGCATAAGAAGACTACGACCTCTCTTTCTTTTCATGTTGGAGCAAATGTGTGTGCTCTTTTGAAACAGCAATGAAGAACTAAAAAGTCAGAGTGTGATTTTAGACTCTGGTGAACTTTGAAGTTTTAGTGCAGCCACTGTGTAGATGCCTGAGATGTGGCAGGCACGCTGTGAAGTGTGTTCTTCCTTCCAGAGGGTCCATTTTCTGTGAAGGACCAGTGCTCCGTGTCACTGCTCAGTGATGTGTGCAATTTTAGGATGACCGTGTTCATGGGTGGATTTCAGAGTTCTTGCAGTTGCAATAGGGAGTGTTGTGATGTACCTCAAATGTCCATAATCATTTTCCTCCCTAGATGTGAAAGTCTCCAATTACAGCCACTGCCTAGTTAGGCATGGAGGCTTCAAAGCAGGTGTTACCTTCCAGGTGCATTGGTGTGATTACGTACTCATGCATAGATACAGAACTCAGTCATCACACAGCATAGTCCCCAGTAGGATAAGACCCTATGGAGAGGGAGAGCAGGCAGTGAGGTCTTCGCAAGGCTGTGAAGATCATCACCCTGTGCTGCTGAAGGACACATGCACACTTCCCTCAAGACTTTGTTATGGCCACTGCTGTCACTTCCTGTCCTCTCCTGCCCAGCTCCCAAGCAGGCCATGTGCTGGACGCCCAGCAGGTGTCCCTGCTGCTGGATTGCTGCCCTGTTCTAGAGGTTCAGTGGCAATGTTGCTTGGTGAGTCTTCTTCAAGCAGTGTTTCCAAGCCCAGCTCCAGGTGTGCTGCTCCTTGTTGGTGGGAGATCCATCCCACGCCGTTGTGTGCATGAAGCACAGCTTGTACAAGCACCCATCTTCGGATGGCCATTTGTTCTGTTTCCAGGGTTGACCCTGAACTGTGAAGCGGCCATGACCGTTCTTATGCACATTTGGGCTGTTTCTGAGATTGACTACCACAAACTATGCCACTGTGGATGTGGGTGTGCATAGATCCCTGTGGTAAGTATGTTCTTTTCCGTCTTTCAGGAAGACACCAACAAGAGCAATAGCTCTGTCAAGTGGAATCGTTAGCCTTAGTTGTTTGAGGGATCTCCAGCCTGCTTTCCACGGGGCTTGTGATAGTTTATGCTCATACCAGCAATGGAGAAGGGTTTCTTTCTCCCCACTGCTCTCCCAGGGCTTGTTACTGGTTGCTTTCTTGATCTTAGTCATTCTTTCTGCAGTGAGGTGCAATCTGAGGGTTGTTTTCATTGGAATCGTCCTTCTTGGAATTCTCTCCCCATTGTCCTTCTTGGTGATGTTATTATTAGTCTGATGTCACGTTTCCATATCATCTAAACTCATTGAGGTTAGTAGGATCCCTGTTCTACTTTGTTCTCCTTCTCTTCTCACTCCCATTCTCTTGGACCCTTCCCATTTGTAAGAGATCCATGCCCTTGTCTCTCTGTTGCCTTCCTTTATTATGCCTTTACTTGCGTCTTGCCTTGCACCAATGAGAGTTACTATGTAGAACGTAAGCTTTCCGGGTGTGATACATTGCACTCAACGTTGTATTGCCTAGGTGCACCCATCTTCCTGACTAAGTCTCAAATTGGTCCTCCTTTATAGGCAGGTCAGCTTTCTTTCCTGAGAGGTGGAGAAAACACATTTTGACCCAGTCTTGTGTACAAAGGTGTTGAGGCTCCTAGCAGAATTGAGCTGGTGTGAATTGTGCTGTTACAAGCATTGGTGTGCATGTTGCACTGCACTCGGATATCTTCAGCTCTTTGGGGAAGTGGGTCTCGTGAAAGTGGGATAGTGGGATAGCTGGGTCACGTGAAATTTCTCACTGAACTTCTTTCAGCAATTTCCAAACCGGTTTTGCTTCACTTTGTACTGTTTTTTCTCTCAGGTGTAAGAACTTGGTTTTGTGTTTAGATTTTGTTTATGCTACTCTTTTTGTTCATAAGTGTAAGAGGTGCATAGTGATCACATTCACGGCGCTCAGTTGTGATGCTGAAAGCGTAGAGTGGAAGTTAGGCCACATGTGGTGCAGGAGGGTGCAATCTTTCAAGCATAGATTGTTTTCCAGGTCGCTGGTACTGAGCACCCAGCCCACGCCCCCAGGCCTTGCCAGCACAAGCTCCGTTTGGACGGTCCTTTTTATGCCAAATATAGTGGGTCGAGATGCATAGTTTGGGAGCCTGGCAGCATTTGGCAAGGATGTGGTATTTTCGTGTGGTGGTGGAGGGAGCCTAGGTTGGAGCTGGTGAAGGTTATGAGTTGCAGGTTGAGCCTGGAGGCTGATAAGATGGTTCCTGCAAGTGTTGATGGGCACAGACTCAAGACGCAGAGCAGTCTGCAGTTCCTACGTCTCCTCCTGCAGGAGTTTTGGGGCTGGAGGGGAGCAAGTCTCACTAGGCCAGGCTCTTTCTACCTCACGTGCCCAGGTCACCTTGCTGAAAAGTGGGATCTGTGCATATGAGGAGCCAGTGTGGGAGGGAGGTGAGTGCAGAACGTGTGGTCATTCACCCAGACTGGGTGGGCTTGGAATGATGGTCACCCAGTGAGCACATGTGCAGCCAGGTGCTGGCCTCTCAGGGATCCCGAGCCCTCTGCTGGAGTCCACATCACTTGCCAGAGGTACCAAATTGACTCAAGACCTGAAAGTGGTCAGCCAGAGTACAGAGATGAAATTTGGAGTCGGTCTTTCAGAAGGGCTTCCAGGAGCCACGAGAGACGGTGCACCTCTCCAATCCCCGCACTCTCAAAACCTGAAGGAAGAGAATGACGTACCCAAGGTCATCCTGGACCACTTAGCTACTTAGGGAGACTGTCTGTCACAATTTCAAAAAGAAAAAAAAAAAACAGAAACGTTCAAACGGCTGTTGCTGCATGTGAGTGAGTAGCCCTTGGTTGGGTTCAATGCCTAGTAGCACAATGAAATTTAAGGACGTTTCCTCTGCAGTGTCCACAGGGGAAAAACTGGAGCAAATTCCCCTAGGAACCTATAGTTCCTGCTGCCCATGGTACTCTGAGATTTGCTACTCTGAAGGCAAAATTGAAGGAAAACCTAGAGAAAGTTTGTCCGTCCTCACGGAGGAGAGGTGGGGCTGTGCTGAGCTGTTCCTCTGTGTTTGAGCTGTGACAAAGGTGTGAGCTGTCCTCGTTACCTCCTAAGACCCTGTCCAAGTGCATTTCCCAGAGGCCACCATGAATCTCTGTGTCTGGGTACCGTGGGTGCTACCCTTAGGCCTTGGGGACACCCCAGTGGAGAGCGCATGTATGTCCCCACTTGTGTGACTGTGAGCCAGAAACTCTACTGCTAGGAATCCATCTTGGAAAATGAGGTTGAGGGTGGCAGAAGTTCCCCTGAGCTCTGGTATGAGCTGAAAGATCGGAAAAAGTCCAGAGCAGAGGTTGCTGAAACACCTGTGTGTCACAGCCTCCAAAAATGTCAATGGAGAGTCCTCCTAGACTGGACCGCGTCTCCAGGGCATACATGAGCCGCCAGGAGAGCTGCGGCCTACACACCCCCCACGCAGGGAGAAAACCACACAGACCCGAGCCCCACGGCGAAGACAGGGAGGAGGGACACTGCCAGGGTGGCCGCCGGCCCTGGGTATGCTGACTGTCAGTATGTCCTTTCATTGACTATTCATTCAGAGTGCATGCTGCATTTGAGTGCGATAAATATTTCTTGTGTGACAAGAAGAACTGGAAACTATTTGTTGAGAGACCCTTGGGAGCTAGTTAGGATCTTCCCTTTCTAGCAAACTCAAGCTGAAACAGTCCCTTCCTGGTTCTGTGACCCAACGCCAATGTGATTGCAGTGTTGTGAAAAAGTGTAGAATGGGGAAATGACAGGGATATGAGATGAATGGTGTTCAGGATGTAGCAGCAGCAGAGAGGGCAGGAGATCCGTTTGGGTACAGAATTGGGGAACATGTTGTAGAACTCGACAGCGGTGAAGGTTGTACGCTATTGAGAATGCACTGGATGCCACGGCAAGCCTTTTAAACAAGACTAAACCTTATACTTTATTTAAATTCTATCATTGACATAGCTCTGGTTAATAAGGACAGCAAGAGATACAATGCAAAGCAAATCTACAAGAGAGGGGAATGGCAGGTGTGGGTCAAGAGTTGCCCACAGGTAGAGCTGAAGAGCTGAGCCCTGCTGTGGAGCCTCCAGGAGTTGCAGGTCTGCAGCTGGTGGAGAAGGGGATCCAGGTTCCGGCTCTTGCTGTGGGGCTCGAGCTGGTGAGGAAGCGGCCGGTGGAACTGGCACGAGCTCTGCAGGTGGGACCTGAGCGTGGGCTGGAGCTGGCCCTGCAGCTGCAAGAGGAGTAAAGCTCACCAACCCTGCATGTTCTTTCCTGGGGCAAAACCTTCCCACTGCCTGCCAGAGACACCCCTGTGCACTAACACAGCCCCAGGTCCTCCCAGACTGCATCCCCCCAAGGGGCTGCTGGGTGTCTCAGTGTTCCTGGGTCATCCAGCATCTGGAAGCTTTGCTGTGTTCCAAGGCCCATGCCCTGCCCACAGGCCTATAGCCGTGTCCTTACCCTGGGGTTCTTCGTCAGGGGGCTCAGGAGGCTCCAGCTGGTCTAGAAGTTCAGCTGGGGGATCCCCCTCGGAGTGCAGCTCCAGTGTGGAATCAAGAGCAGAACAAGTGGACCTGGGGCAGGCAGGGGGAGCACCAAAGTGAGAGGCAAGGCCTTTCCTCCCACACTACGTCACCTGTATGAAGGGACCCATAGGCCTCCCGCCCCATCTGTGCAAGTGCCCAGCCTGACCCTCTCCCCTCCTGGTGCCCAATGGGGCACTGCGGTCCCAGGCAGCCCCCAGAGGTTAACAGAAGGCTCTATGGGAGGGAGTCCTTGCTTAGTGGCGTGACTTGTGTGCCTTCCTTCAGGGAAGCCTAACACAGGGTGTCCTGCCCCTCCGCAGTGGCAGGGCACCTCGCTGAAGACAGACCTTGGGATCTGCTGTGTCCTCGCACTCAAGGGCACAGGGTGGCTGCTCCCTAAATATCTGAGAAGGGAGGGGTGAGTCAGAGTCTGCGAGGAGGAGGGAGAGCTCAGTGTGCAGTTCATGGAGCGGTGTGTCACCCAGTTCCCTTTGGAGCTCCTCCTGTGCTGTTGTGCATCCACATCTAGAGAGTCAGGACAGTGTCCCCTCCGTCATAATGGGAGCAATGCCTACTCTGCAGTCCAGGTGAATTTTTGGCTCCCAAATAGCATTGCACCCCAAAAGGGCAGGGTTGGTTGCATGTGCTGTGTTTCTAGGAAAGTGTCCACACATAGTGTGCCTTCCTGTCTGTTAGTGGATATATGTTCCCCATGTGCTCTTGCGTGATATGTGTGTGGCCTAGGTCCTTGGGCATCCCCAGAGGGTAGCTGCTCTAGGAAGACCCTGACACCTGTAGAGTGACCCTGCAGTCTCCTTTCAAATGATCAGAACTGCTTGCCCCGAGTGCAGGTGACAGTGAAGGTGAGGCCAAGCCTCCCAGTGGGTAATTCATCACTGACTTGATGATCTGTATTGAGAGTCTGCTGTGATTTTGACTTGATGATCTGTATTGAGTAGTCTGCTGTGAGTTTGATGGGCTTTGTTCATAGGTGATCTGTTTCTTTTCTCTAACAGCTTTTAATATCCTGTTCTTTTGTTCAATTCATATATATCTAGGAAATGTCTATTTCTTCTGTGTTCCATCTAATGAAAGTAAAGATTTTCAAAGTATGTATTGACAATCTTCTGAATTTCTATAGGATCTGTAGTGATATCACCCCTTTCATTCTTTATTGCATGGATTTGAGTTTTTCTTTCCTTTTTTGGATAAGTTTGGCCAGGGGTTTATTAATTGTATTTATTTTTTAAACGAGCCAACTCTTTGCTCATTAATTCTTTGTATTGTTTTCTTTGTTTCAATTGCATTAATTTCTACTTTGTTCTTTATAATTTCTTTCCTTCTTTGCACTTTGTGATAAACTTGCTCTTCCTTTTCCTGAAGTTTGAGGGATAACAGAAGTTTGTTTATTTGTGTCTGTTCTGTTTCCCTGATGTGGGGATCCACTGGTATAAACTTCCCTCTCAGGACTTCTTTCATTGCCTCCCACAGGTTCCTGTAATTTGTATCTGCATTTTCATTTGATTATAAATAGTGTTTAATTTCTACTTAAACTTTTTTTCTGACTCATGGTTGTTCAAGAGGGTGTTATTTAATTTCCATGTGTTTATGGAGGTTTTACAAGTTCTTTTATCTTTTATTTCCACTTTCATTGCACTATGGTCTGATAATATGCATGGGATAATTTCAATTCCTTTGCATTTCCTTAGGCATGTTCTATGTGTCAGCATGTGGTCTCCTTTAGATAATGTTCCATGCACAGCTGAGAAGAATATGTATTCTAATGTTGTTAGGTGGAATTCTCTGTAAAGGTCTACTAAGTCCATTTGTCCACATGTTTGGTTTAGTTCTGTTATTTCTTTGCTGATTTTTTGTCTAGTTGACTTATCTCTTTGTGACAATGGGGTGTTAAAATCCTCCGTTACAGTTGTGTTATTACTTATTTGATTTTTTATGTCTGTTAAAATTTGCCTTATATAATTGGTTGTTCCTACATATGATACATATATATTTATGATTATTATCTCTTCCTCTTGCAGTTTTCCCTTAACAAGAATATAGTGACCTTCTTTATCTCTTTTGATTGTTGTTTGTTTGAAGTTCACCTTGTCTGCAAACAGAGTAGCTACTCCTGCTTTTTTCTGGGTTCCTGTCACATGGAGTATTGCTTTATTTCCTTTGACTTTCAGTCTATGGATTTCCTTTTGAGTTAAATGCATTTCTCATATGCAGCATATTGTTGGATTTTATTTCTTGATCCACTCTCCCAGTCTGTTTCTTTTGATTTGTGTACTGAGGCCATTTACATTAATAGTTATTAATGATATGTATTGACTTATCCTTGTCATGTTATTTTCCCACTGTTGGTTCTATACTTTCCCCCTCTGTTTAACTGCTTATTTTGTTTCATAGTTCTTTTCTATTGTTGGTTTTGAGATTGTGTTCATTTTTATCTTTGTAGAATATCTTTCAGTACTCTTTGTAGCATTGGTTTTGTGCTCATGAATTTCTTCAGTTGATCCTTATCATGGAAGTATCTTATTTTTCTATCAGTTTTGAAAGATAGCTTTGCAGGGTCCAACAATCTGGGTTGGAAGTTGTTTTCTTTCAGGACCTGAAATACTTCACTCCAAGCTCTTCTTGACTTGATGATCTGTATTGAGGAGTCTGCTGTGATTCTGATGGGCTTTCTTCATAGGTGATCTGTTTCTTTTCTCTAACAGCTTTTAATATCCTGTTCTTTTGCTCAGTTTCTGTGATCTTGGTTATTATATGTCTGTGTGTAGATTTATTTTGTTTATGGCTAACTGGTGTTCTGTATGCTTCGCTTATATGTATAGAAGGTTCTTGTCCCATCCTTGGGATATTTTCTGTTATTACTGCTGCAAATAGACTTTTTATGTCATTCATGTTGCCTCCTGCCCTTTGGTTAACACCTATCAGCCTTACATTGTTTTTCTTTGCCCCATCTTGCAGCTGTTGAATTGTTATTTGCTGTTCCTTTGTTATTTTTAACAGATCTTTTCTTTCATGATCACTTGCTGCAACGCTGTCTTCAAGGTCTGAGAGTATATCTTCAGTTTCATTCAAGTGGTTTTTCCAGCTTTCAATGGAATGTTTAATTTCATGAATGTCTCTTTGAATCTGTTTCATGCATTCTAATTCTTTCCTATACTGTTCATTCAAGATTTCCATTTTTCTGTGATCATGTATTTTTTTATCTCTCTTCTTTTGATATGCTGAGCAATTCTTTCATTATGGTTGTCATTTCTTTTTTTACCTGAGCAATTATTTCTGATCTGATTCCTGTATAGCCTGATGTAGTTGGTTCTTTACTTCAGCTGCTGTCATTTCTGAGATTTCAGATGTGTTACTTCTGTGTTCTTCCATGTTGATGTTTCCTGTACTTGTTCTGGGTGGGGTGTTTGGCTGAGATTGCATTTTGCTTCTCTTTTTGTCATTTTCAAATCTCTCTATGTTTCTGAGGGTTCAGGTTTGTTCCTGAGATGGCCACGGGGGGCAAAGCCAGAGGACCCCGGCAGCCAGACAGCTCACTGAGGCCTCCTGAGTCTAAGACACCTCCCACCATTGAGGCGGGAGGTGGTGCTGAGGAATCTGGGTCCCCAGGCAGCTCACTGAGGCTTCCTGAGTCCAAGGCCCTCCCCACAGTAACAGAGTTTTCAATGATACAAACAGATTTTTATTGAAAAGGAAGTCTTTGCCTTTGGGATGCTTTGGTACACTTAATGTGATCTGTTGTTTGCATGCTGATAATTTGTCAAACCTTGCCTGAAGTGACTTGGCTCATGTGCCAATAGAGAGTGCTCTTTGTGCTACTGTGGCATGTGTGTCATATGTTCACCATGACTGTTCTAAGTTCTAGTTTGCTAATGGCTAATCTCTGAGGTATGAGGTATCTCTCTTAGATTTTTTTTATTGAAAACTTACAGGTTTCTGTGTCTTCAGCACTTATGTACTGGGTAGATTCTATTGTAACTATTGACAGTTTTGAGCATTCCTCTTACACTACCAAGCATCAAAATCTGGTGAACATCTTAAAAGTAAGATAGATCATAAAATATCACCTCATGGTATTTTGTATTCTAAAATTCATGAAATTGTGAAACATTTTACTTTACCTTTCCAATCTATCCTCTCTGGACACTTGTGCTGCCTCAGAACTCAAGAGCTGGCCATGACAAACTGACTTATGCCTAGGATCTTTTAGATTCCTGCACAGGTCAGCAGCCATAAGACCTCTACATTCACAGTCACTTCCTCTTTACTCAGGAAGTTCCCTCAGAGTAGGTGGGAGTATGTGTGGGAGGAGGAAATCACATCTCTACACAGAAAACCAGTGAGCTAAATGGGGCCAACTCAAGTTTTTAATTACAACCCTGTTGTGAGAACTACCAAGTGGTCACACAAAACTACCTTAACCCCTTCCAAAAGTAGCTCCTTCAATTGATCTAACAACCTCCCAACAGGCACCACTTCTTTAAGGTTCTACACTAACTACAATAATGCCATGTGAAACCTTAGGGTACATACTAAATCAATATTCAAACCATAGCACCCACAAAAACCTTCATTTCTCAGAAGTGAAATTTATTTCTGTTAATGCTATGAGAAAAGTGCATTACGAAACAGCATGATATCTATAAACAAGAAATTTTTTTTAATATCAAACAAAATTTTATAACATTATTTATAAGGTTAATAATGGGTTCTTAGGACCCTGTGAAACATTCTGGAAGGGCTTTTTGGCTCCTATTTGATGAACTTCACACTGTCGTCAGTTCATATGATGATACCATCCTCAGCTGAGACTTTTTAAATGACCAGCTGCCAAAGCAGAATCCTCCCTGCCCTACTTCCTTTGGGAATGTATACCTACATCTCTAGAGAAATCACCACCATACACTGACCTCATACTCATCCCAGACTCATTAAAGTTATGGTATATTTAACATATCTGCCAAAACTAGGACAAACATCAGTAGCAACTGTTAACTCCTATCTGGATTCCCCAGACCCATAAGGAGCAG